ATTGAACCAAGTCAAAGCAATAGGAAGTTTTACATCTCCCCTGCAAGTACGAAGTAAAACTGAACCAAGTCAAAGCTATAGGAAGTTTTACATCTTTTCAGATGTTCCACACACACGCCTCGCTGCCGCGAGGCTTTTTTCAAATTCATCCACCTTGAGAGCTCTTATCCGTTCCCTGAAGCGGAAATGGCTTCAAAATACAGGGAAGAAACATCGAATGAATTAATCCTAAAACTCACAGGCTGTCATCAGGCAATGCCTCCATGCGTCGTGCTTGGATAGACAAAGTCCTTGTGGATTCCGCCAAGTGGCTAGCAAGATGAGCCAAGTCTGCCGCCGAGAAGATCTGAACTGGGTGTCGGGAAAGATCTCCTTCAGGATCCTCCAGACGTTCGAGTATGGCCATGTTGGCCTCCCTGTCATTGTTGAGGATGTTCCAGAAGAACGTTGCCAGTTGATGAATCTGGACAGGAGGTGGATTGATGTCAGCATTGGCAATGAGAGAATCGGTGTCATCCATGACGGATTCATGTGCCGATGTAGGGCTTTCTGGACCGTCAGCTTGATGGGGACGCCAGTTACCATATGGAGAGGTCTCGGGGATCTGAAAGTAGCGTCGCCAGCAGTTGGCGAGCTGGGAGGATTGATCCCATGAATCAATCCAGCCATTCTGTCCGGCACGAACATGGCCGATGATGCCGTTGAAAAAATATTCAGGCTGCCTATTGTGGTGGCGACCACGTCGATCCACTTCCGTCACCATAAGTCGTCGAAGCGCCGGTTGATCGTCATCTTCTGGAGGTGATTGGACTTCCACAAAATAGTATGCATGGAGCTGACGTCGGACTTCTTCCATCTCTTGCTGGAGTGGATATGATTCTCCTGTAGGAGTAGGTAGAATTGGAGCTTGATGATCGGCAGGAGATGGTATGGGTGTGGCAAGATTTGCCGAAGAGTACCCATAGTGGGTTGTGTACTCGCCTGATGCATTAGGTGAGAGGGAACTTCCAGCTTGGGGAGCATTGTCGCCACGGGGCGGCTGCAATAGATCCTAAGGAGCAGCAGTGCTACTGGATTGGCCATGACTGCGGGATCTCCATGAAACGCGACGTGGCTTGCTCATGGATGAAGAAGGACGCGTGAGACCGGCAAATGAGGAATCACGCTTGGTCATGGTACAGCTGGAGCCAAGAGCTAAAGACTTTAACAGGTAAAAAACAGCAAGAAGCAGAAGCAAACCACCCAAGCAAACGGGAGAGTCCCATGTCCCTACATGTAAGAGACTTTTAACCTTAAGGAAGCATGTTGCGGTTTGGAAGAGCCTCATGGCAGCTCAAGCGCATTATGTAAGGCTGAATGTGAGACGTAAAGGGATGAATGTGATGTGAAAAGAACTCATTATGTTCTTGTCCCTCAGTCCAGTGAGAGCGGTATGCGTTCAAATAGGTGACGAGGTATTCTTCGTTGCGGAGAGCAAACGTATCTCCAGTATCATCTTGCCATCTGATGTCCATGGCTGAAGGAGATAAGAATCGATCCCACGTATACCAAATGTGCTGGCTGATGCAATACAACAGGTTGTTCACCGTGAAGGTTTCCAACCTGTGTGTGTTGAGCAGGATGTTGAATGTGAACAATGCACGTTCTTCGACCGGAGTGAGGCGAGGGAGAACCTCACATGTTGTAGCGGCCATCGAGTGATCATGGGTTTTGTTCATGAGCGGACGGACTTGTTCAATGTCAACGATGACCAAGACCTTTCGGACTTGAGGAGCAGGAGGAGGTTCTTCAGGTCGAGGATTTCGTTGTCTGTCATGTTGATGAGTGCCACGGTTTTGCCACATATTGTCGTCCCGAGAGCGGGAGCGTTCAGGAGCTGTTCGTTGACGATAATATGAATGAGCCATACTTGCTGTGGGTGAACAGACACCAAGTAAGAACATTCATCCCAGGTAAAAGAAAGACTGACCAAAAGGGAGACCTCAAAAAAGGACACGAAGAAAAGCAAAAAGAAAGGGAAACCCGAAGCAAGTCAACAACAGCCCCAAATGAGGCAGCAATGGCGCCTTTTTTGACATCGCAAGAATTGATGCTAAAGTCAGTCATCACCCTCCAATTCATGAGGTGGATTTCCCGGACCCGGTGGGTCATTCACTTCTGATGTCTGTTTCAGAAGTCCCCCGCGAAGCTTGCAGAGCTGAGGATCACGATGGAGTCTTGCTCCAATTGTTTTCCACGAAGGTCTGGACTTTGTGTCCTGTTTCATGCCAATCAATTCCTGGTCATCGGCGTGGGTCCACGGACGAGCCGGATCAGGAGGTGTATTATTAGCAGGAATAGCATGAGTGATGTGCATCTGTGGAGACGGCGGAGCTTTTGGGTTGGGAGTCAAGGTCAGAGGCGGTGTTCTGGGTCTTGCTTTCCCACCATGAATGTAGCTGACATCCTCTCTTGACGCAGCTTCACCATCGGAGTCATCCGAATTCATGTCTGCTGAACGGGCGTCTGAAATGATGGGTAACGAGGTCGAATGGACAGCATCAAGATTGTGGGCGAGTCTAGGTTCAGGAATTGACTCCCCTTTCTGTTTCTTTTTTGGTTGTGGGTCCACCAGAGATGATGACCGTTGTTTTGATCGCACTGGCACAGGTGTGGTAGTGCGTGTGGGGGCCGTAGGGAAGGTAATCGTTGTTGTGGATCCAGGAGTCGGAGTTGGACCAGGGTCCGTCACAAGACTGGCAGGTCGAGATGTACCAGTGGTGAGAATACCTAGAGAATCCAAAGCTTTGCTTTGGACATCGTATCTGCCAAAGACAGCGCTACCCCTTCTTTTGTAGAAAATGTGCCGTTTGTAATGCCATATGGTTTTGATTCTGATTTGCATGATGCAGCAGTCAATATCTTGTGTTAAGCACACTACAGGTATGACTTTGCGATCTTGAGCCATGCTTGACTTGAGCCAAACAGCCCAGTCATCACGTATGTTAGCCCTCTGCGCAGGCATGATTGTAACTGCTGTTTCCTGTGATCATGCAGGCTAGCACTTTGTACACGCATGCCTGTCACTGCTCTGACTGCAAAGTTTGTGATAGCAATTCCCACCCACCCTCCCATGCACGACGCGCTTAAGAATAATAGCGAGGTGTTTGGATTCAGATAGTGTTTGACTTTGGCTGCAGTCATCACGGTTCACAGAAATTTGAAAAGAAATTTTTAGGGGAAAGGAAAGAAATGACGATTGTTCTGTGATTGTATGTGGCTGAAACATTTGTTTTACTAAATTGTTTCTTGCTGGGGGCAGTTTTTGTAATTCCACGTTCATGGGAAGTGTGCATGTGTGTTTGTGTGTGCACGTCGCCTGCTCATGTTTCCCAAGTTGTGTGGCCAAGCAACCCTTTTTGGGGGGAAAGTGTTTGGATCACATCTTGAGGTGTTGTTTTTTCAATGTCATTTTTGCGAAGGGGATCGCTCGTGCCGCAAGGGAGTGGCGTTTTTTTCAAGACATGGATCATGGATGGTTTGACATTTTCTTTCAATTTTCATACCTTCATGACTTGCATGGTCAGCGGTATGTCTTTACAAGTAGAGGAACCAAATTTTGGAGCAACCCAGACTGTTGAAATCATTTTCATATATGATGTTCACTTTTTACCTGCGCCATGTTCTTCACGGGGTTGCTTTCCTGTGCTGCCCTGTTGTGATGATGGCCTTCCAACCTGGGGTGCCCCACCGCTCGCGGTGCAGCTATGGGGTGTGCAGGGTCGCAGGGGTTCAACTGCATGATGATGTGTTGTGATGATGTCTAGCGAAGAGTTGCGTTTAGCGAAGGATTGTGAGATTGGACATGTGCATGGACTTGTGGATTCTGCAGCCCATTTTGTGTCACATTTTGTGTTTTGACCTGTCAGTCCCACACGACCTTGGGATTGGGTTCAAATATGGAGCCTCAACCTTTGGTGCCGGCCATGCGTGATGATATTGAGATCACAACGTGGCGTTCAGTTCGACTTTTGGTTTCACAAGTATGTATATTGTAATTTCCTATTTCGTTTGTTCCATGTCTTGTTGAAGCGGGTTTTGAGGGATGAGCTGTTAACATTGTCGATTGTATGATCTTCATTTTTGAGGGGTGCATTCACAAAGTTTGAGGACCGGGGCGCAAGCTGCCGTGGAAAGTGGAGGATGTAGTTCCTCTGCATGGTTTTTGGAATGTTGTGTTTTGTAGGTTTATGTCCCGTCCCATCCCCTACCACAGTTTTGTGTTCCTGACTTGGGGGAGGCACAAATAATCGTATAGTTTGTTTTGGGCATGATTTCAGGTGAGACTTGCCCGATTGATCCGCAACAACATCCCTGGTGAAGTCTTCTCGGTTATCATTGATGACGAGTGGAAGGGTGGCCCTTTGATCTGCCTTAATGAGAGCGTGGGACGGCCTACAGCACATGAGCTAGCAGTGAATTCCTCATGGCTCCACTCCATCTGCGAGTTCAGCCCCAAGAAGGCTAGGGAACCAAGATTGTTTCCAGTAAAATTTCTTAACATACAGTAAAAACATGTGCGTGCGTGTTCACATGCACAAAGATTAAGAACATGTATGTTTGTTTGTATGTTTGTATATATGTACGTAGGCAGGTAGGCAGGTAGGCAGGTAAGGTCGGTGTGTATGTCTGTATGTCTGTATGTTTGTATGTCATGTATGCCATGTATGTCATGTATGTCATGTACGTATGTATGCACGCATGCCTTATAATACAGGAGTGGGAGGGTGTGAGCCTAAGGGTTTGTTCACCTGTCGCTGTAGGTTCCCTCAGCTTTTTTCTTGGCTGACACGTTCTTGATGCTTGACCAAATGATCCAGAAGAAGTTGTTTAGGGAGGCCAATGGCCCTCGTGAAACTCAAGCTGCAGCGGAGGGCTTGCGTGCAAAGAAGTGCCTGGGCGCTTTGAGATATCTTTGGCGCAATGCTCGCACTGCTGCGCACCATCCGTTCGTGGCAGCAATGAAAAACTTGTTGGAAGACTCCCCATTGCAGGAGGCCCGAAGGGCACACCATGAACCTGAACCTGAGTCCCCTGAACAAGTCTCCTCCGATCATGAGGATTCTGAGAGCGGTGGTGCTGCTAGTGATGATGGGGGGGATGAAGGTGCTGCTGAAGAGAGTGAGTCCGAGGTTGAGCCAGAGGAAGAGGCGCCGGTGCCAACGTCTCAGGATAGTAGTGAAAGTGTGAACTCTGAAGCTGGTGCTGGTTCCAATCATGGGGGTGATGATGATGATGCCAATGATGGAGGTGCCAGTGAACACAGTGTCCTGCCCAGAGAGCCCGGTTCCCAGCGTGAGGGTGCATGGATTGGTTCTTTCTACCAAGAAAACTCCAGTGAAGGTCGATCACCCGATATGCCACCCCGAAATGTGAGATCCAAGGCTGAGCGACCCCAGCAACTCTACGACCCATGGGTCACGGATATCATGAGGAACTTGCGTGATGACCATGGGTTGGATGAGCCCCCAGGTTTAGTTTTTGAAGGCAAGCTGTCCATGTTTTGTTTGTTTTCAAAGTGCCCCAAGGAAAAAAATGTTTGTGCAAATGAATTGAACCCCCCCAACCCCGTACCCCCCAAGAAAAACACACAGTAGGTAGTGATGCGCTGCTGAATCTTAGGCACCCAATGATCGAGGAGTACAAGAAGCATTGCATTCGCGCACTGGACTTGTATGGCAACCACGTATTTGCAACACTTTGCTCTGCACGCCATTTCAACGAGTGGCTTCATGAGCAGAAGGGCCAGGACACCAATGACCCATCCCTTTTCTTGAGAGCATACTGTATGAACCTCCGTTTAGGTATCAAACAAGTTTGCATCTTAAGGTTGTACAAGAATGGGGGTAATGGGGATACCAATAAGAGGGTTATCAAGTGGGAGATGTGGCGATATCAAAAAGAGGGTTACCGAAAAAAATAGAACATATACTTATTCAACCATTTGATCCATGAATAGTCCCCTTGGAATGTATGATGACTTATCGGGATATCAATAAGACGGTTGTCGAACTATTAGAATATATATAATATATAGTTATTCAACCACTTGATCCATGAAAGAATAGCCCCTTGGAATGTATGGTGATTCGACCATTTGATCTATGAAAGGGTCATCTGATTGAAAAAAATGAACGTTTCCTAAATGGTGGTATCCACAAACCATCAATGTGAATAGAAGTTCTCCTTATAAACGTTTGGGGGTACCTCTACTTCTGGAAATCCCCATGTGGTGATATGACCATTTGACCCACAAAATTCAAAAATTGAAATGTATGGTGATTTCACCATTTGTCCCCTGATAAATGGAATTGTGATGATTAACCAGTATGACAATTCACCAGCCACTTGAGTTCCCAACACAGGTCAATCAAACCCTTCTTTGGTTTTTCTGGCAGGACGCGGGCAAAGCTGTGGATCGTGAACCCAAGGATCGCAAGGCTGGAACACACACGCACAGCATTCCAACACGAGTTGCATGTGAGCACCATCTGTTGTGCAAACGTGACGTACAAGAAATCAAGAAGGTTTTACTTGTTCTGGCCACTCTTTTCTTCGTACATTCAAAAAGGTTTGCAAAACCATGTGCATGTGTTCCCTTCGCTAAGCTGGCAAACAGCGAGACAATTTCCCAGGAGTCTTGCAAGGATTGCTTTTTGACACTTTCATGGGACATAGATGGCCCACTCAACACAAAGACGAATGAAGGAAGTTTCCTGTATACCAATGTCCCATGTATCTATCTAAAACCATTCCAAACCTTGACAAGCACCTGTCATTCCGGCGCTACCAGGCTGGCTTCAAGGCAGCTCTCAATCTCATGCGCCTGGATGCCACGGTGGTGGATGAGGCATGGTCTAAGACACCGGTGTGCAAGCGACCCGCATCGTCAGAGGAAGTTGCTGAGGGTTTGGTCCTCACCCCACCGCCTGTGGTGGGCCCTCAATCAGAAACTTGTTTCCAAATCAACTATTGTTTTGTATACGGAGTTAAATGGTTGTGAAGATATATTATACCCAATTACCACCACAGGCAATGAAACAATCTTAGACATGTTGTGGGATTCCGGGTTACGTACTACTGTTTTCAACCCAAATCATCTCAATGTGAGTTTTGGATTAAGTTCTATTCAATAATTTGTTCTGGTGGTTTGGGACCTGGCTTAGGCAAAGCGAATGGCAAATTTGAAGCGTCAAGCCCATGGCGAAGACATTAAGCCAGCCCAGAAAAAGGCCAAGAAGGCCAAGTCCCCCTCGAGTGAAGCAACTGCAAGCAAGTCTGATGATGATCGGGTTTGTGAAAAAATGGCAACCTTCAAGGGATATGATTTGAAGGAGATGGGCTTACCAGTTCAAGCCATGCCAAGTGCCGATGGTGATTACCGTGGTGCCCACAGCTACACTCTGTGTGTTGGCCGGGCAGTATCTTGATGTAATTATTTTGGAATTCTTCAATATAAATCGGTTTAGTGGATATGAACTGATGGGGTTGGAAAGTGGTAGGCCTACAGCCATCTACAGCCCATTGATTCTATGTGATAGGGTGTCCCCAAGTTTGTCTCACAATGTTTGGTGTATATTGAAAGAACCCCTACAAGACAAATTAGAGATTTAAGATTTCAGACATCATAATCCCCTTTGCACATTATGTTTCATATCCCCTGACGTGAAACTATCCCCAAGAATATCTGATGCCACCCGAGGCCATTGAGGTACTGCTCAAGCACAAGGCCTTCTTTGTCAAGCGCTTGGATCCTGGGCACGATGGTGTGATTGGCCAGGTGTCATGGGCCAAGAATGGTGGTGTTGAGCAGGCATGGAGTCTGGCTCAGGCCAATGCCGGAGTACCAACACTGGGATGAGGTCCCATTGAACAGCTTTGATTTTGTAGGAACAAGTGGCTGGGGTATAGAAGTGACGCCCTGAATGTTTTCCAGGCAACAAATCTAAAGTCATTTGCTTTGGGGATTGCTGTTCCATGTTTTGATCAAATCATAAACAAAATCCTGTGTGCCCATTATCTGGTTTCCAAACCGGGGCAAGCACTTCTGCATGGGTTTGCCACTACTCCAAATGGGGTTGGATCAAAGTCTGAACCTATGACGTGCTACGAGATTTGAAATCTTGGGCAACCGAAGTAACCGAAGTAACCGAAGGACAAGTTTCTTGAAAGCAAGAGTTTGGCGTTTCCTTAGACTCTGTGCCAGCTGTGCGGGGATGGAAGCGGTCAAAAAAATAAAGCCGCTGCTATTTTTCACTGTGGCCAGTTGCCAAAGCTGACACCACCAAGCAAGTCAAATCATATATATATATATACTATTATATATGTGTATAAACAATGGAAAAGTTTTAGGAGCGCCATCGGAAAAAACGATCCTGTGAATGGTGTTGCAATAGATTGGGAAGCGACACAGGTTTTGGAAAAGAAGAGGGTCACCCCCATTAAATGGAAAAGCCTTCAACATCCAAGCATAAACAGTTCAGCCATGCACACGAATCGGTTTTGGATTGCCAATGAAAAGAATGGAATCCACATTTGTTCCCCCCACACCAAGCCCAGTCCTCCACACCATTTTTGCAGATATATGGTCCTGGCACCGCACGCAGGTATTGAAAGTGTGACCAGCAAAAGCTATAGAAGCCAGGACTGTTTTCCGACGTTAATCTATTGGGTTGCCAACCATCGCAATGAACAATCTTTAGTTGATAGAATCAGAGGCCAACGATGGTTTTTGCAAGGATGAAAGAAAAATGATGGACGGTTGGCTCATCATAGTCATAGTGTTGATTGTTGGCTCCATAGCATTTGGCTTATCTCAACTCCTATGCCCTGACCATGACAGTCTCACAGCGTGAGATGACTATGCGAAGACGGGTGAAGAAGGTCATTGAGAAAACCAAGGCCAAAGTGCCCTTCATGGAAGAGACAGGAGTGAGCCGCCCTCGCCTCCAAAGTCCATGTGAAGCCCACCGTGGGAATGTGATGTCAGCATTGCGTTTCCTCAGGGCGCCGATGGCGGTTTGGATGCAGAAACCTTATTGGGGGAAATACAAACATATGGGTGTTTAACCGACACCTTTTGCGGGAAATTCCCATGAACAAATATTTACACACATGTAAAGGGGTGTTTCAATGAGTGTATCTGCCTATATCTATATCTAAGTCTACATCTATCTACATATATACATGATGCATACAAGGTTATACATGGTTGCAAAAAGGGTGAGATGTAAATGTGGGGAATGATGGAATTATGGATATAAGGGCATAGGGTTCATGTTTGTAGGTATATGTATCAAGGGTAATAGTGAATGTCTGTGTAAACAGGGTGTATACATATATATATATATATCTGCAAATGTATACACATATCTAAATACATATATACAAAAATGTGTATATCTATACGTATACACACATAGAGTTTAAAAATAATTGTAATCATAAAATAAACAACCATATTCATGTTTGAAGTCATCAAACATACAGTGACTTGTAAAAATCATCGTGTAAGATCATGTACTATCACGTACAATCTTTCCATCAACTATCATCCCCTATAATCATCCAAAACTATTTATGCATAACATCATTTACATTTATGCATCGGTGTTGCCAATAGGAATTTTTCGGTTGGTTTGGCACCCCAAAAAAAGCCCCCAGGAACCCACCAAATATGTACGGAAACTATAGGAAAAATGCTATTGGAAGTAAACTTGTGGGGGGCTTTTTTGGGGTGGCAAACCATCAGGAAAATTACAAGCTGCCAATGGATTCAATTTTGGCCAGCCCCGTTTACAGTTCTTGAACCACATGCGTTCCAGGGAAAACCAAATACCCAGAACCTTCTGTCATCCCAGGTAATTGGAACATTGATGGCCATGCTGTTCAGCCTGCCCTTGGACTGGGGTCGAAAGGTCACCCATGTTGAAACATTTGCAGGGTGCGCTTCGGTTACCCGGGGTGAGATTCAGGCTGGGACCACTAACAATTTTCCTATTAGTTTGGCACCCCAAAATCTGACCCCCACAACCAACTAAACATGTAGCAAACCTGTAGGAAAAAGGTTACTGAGGGTAGAGTTGTGGGGGTCAGATTTTGGGGTGCCAAACCAGCAGGAAAATTAGAAGGGACCACCATTTTGTTTTTGTGCGCATGGTATGGTTGGAGGTAATTTGTCCAAAAGGCCCCCAAGAGTATAGGTAAAATATGGTTCCAAAAGAGTTGCATGAGTTTGAAAAAGTTAGCCATCTAGGAGGGCAGACCTCATGCTGTGGCTTTGGACAAGGAGTACGGTGGTCCTGAATTTGATCTCTTATCAAATGAGGGATTCTGCAACGCCCTTTACTACACAGCGTGCCTCGAACCAGGGTCATCCAAAATGGCTGCTCCCGTATGTTCTACATTTGTGTTTATGAACCTTGCATCAAAATTCAGCACAGTTTCTGCACGGTTAATGAAATATCAACCAGCCTTTCAATTGCTAGATCCAATGTTTCCGGCAAGTTGTTGAAATCGATAAGTCTTACGTCGATAAGTGTGGAAAAGTCCATTGAAAAAAAGATATCCAAACTTCAAGTCCCCAGGCCAATGCTTGCGTTGCCTTGCTGCAAGGAGTCGTGCTTCGACCTTGAGATCTGAAAGCAACCCCATGGGAAGGTCTGACAGTGAAGCTGTCAGGAATGGCAACATTTTAGCTTGCCGTTGTTTCATTCTCCTTCTACTAGCGAGTTGCAAAGGATGCTGGTGGCTTATGGAGCAGCCCTCTACAAGCACGATGGAGTACATGCCATGTTTCCAGCATCTCATGGCCCTTGTCAGTGTGAGGAAAATGGTTCTTAGTCTTGCTGACTATGGATCCCCAACATTGAAGCGGACGAACTTATACAGCAGTAACTTGTTCAAACCAGCAAGACCCATGCACTTCTTTGTCGGGGAAGTTTGATCAAGAATGTTGAACCCGAACCAGCAAATTTGCAACTTTGTTGAGTACAAAGTCCTGGGCAAAAAGAATTTTCCCTTAAATGTTTGAAACGTTCATTCAAGAGATTTATTTGCAAACATAGGGCCCAAAATGAGATAGATAGATAGATAGATAGGTAGATAGAAAGATAGATAGATCATGGGAAATCACCCCCTTCCTATCTGATGGGCGTTTTGGGTTAATAATAAATATAGGACTTATAGGACCAAAGAAAATTGGCCTAGGCAGTGATGCCATCGACAGCCTACCAGATTACAGAACACCACGGCGTCTTCGGCCACGAGAAATGGTACGTCACTACATAGATGGATCAGGTCAGAAAAGGGTTTGTGGTGGGAAGCATCTTCGAGCTTCACAAGCATACCCAAGGGAGTGCTTTGGTATTTGACGATGTTTTGTTTTCTTCTGGGTGGGGGAAGAGCCAACAAGTATTCTAATGAACACACACCTGCTCCAGCCAGTGCCAGCTCAGGTTTGGGCTTGCCATTGCAAGGTGTCGAACGCAGCACAAAGCACGGCACCTGAGGCTGGCGAGGCAGTTTCTGAGGGATGCCAGAAAATCTACCAATTCTATGGACACCAGTGCCCGAATCAACAAGATTTGGAAGGATGGTGCCAATCTGGAACCAGTCTTAACCTTTTTGTCCAATGGCAAATACATGTAGCCATGAAGATCGAAGTACAAATTCGTCAGTGAGCCTTAAAGTGTCAGACAAGCAGGGGTTCATGAAGCTTGCATCGACACTTGTAAATCACACACCGGAAATGAATCTGCAAGATTGCGCCGGAAAAGATTCTTGCTGTGTTGTTGGGTGTCACCGGAATCCCAATTGGGTTGGAAAACAGAAGTGGGAAATCCAAAATCCAGAACAAACCCTGGCCCAAAAGCTTCAGTTGGTCTTCAACTTGTTGTGGCCGTTATTTGTTGTGTGATATTTAAAAAAAGTACCCTAAAAATTAGGGTAACCTTTTGTTCCTCCAACGGTTAAGGTTTTGAAAGATCCTTCTAGCTATAATACTTGGCAAAGGGGCGAACACAAACAAACACCTTTTGACTCGATGTATCGGGTGCACATATACAGTAATATACAGTAATAAACTCTGCATATGTATAATATTTAAATAAAGAAACAAATCTTAATACATAGTAAATATATATATAAACACATAATATAAATATAATATATATATATATATATATATCTAACATATATATATTTACATATGTATACATATATATATATACACAGAATATACTTGTTTATACACACAAAATATTTGACATTATATATATATATTTACATTATATATTTATATATAGATAATGTTTATATACATATATACTCATACAACAAATTGCATATACATATACTTTTACAATTTATGTATATATATAAATATATATATATAGAGAAATATATCATTTTACACGTGCATAGATACGTATACAAGTACATACATAGACACCACACAGAACCCACCCAACTACTCCAACCAATCCAGTTTACCAATGCAAAAGTTAGGTCCAATTGTGGCACCCAGTGTCAGGGTTGAAACATATGTGCCCACCATTTGGAAGGGGAACATAAACTTGCCACTTTTAAGGGATTCACCATATTAGCAGGGTTTAAACCCATAGCCATTTCTATATCATCTGTCCGTCTTTCACCACTTCTATGGCTTTTTTCCCTTTTGACCTAGTTGTTATTCCCAATTGATATATCTGAGCCCAAAGCAGTGTTGATGTTTAAATTCACATCTATACTCATCCCTAGCCCCACACCTATTTATCAGAATATCAACCACGTCGATAGACCCGGCTCTCCAGGACACCCCAGGGCCATGACCAGAGTCACTTTGAAAAGACCATTGTCTTTGCGCTGGCCTGGCATGTTTGCTGCTGTTTGGCCATTGGAGCTGAGGGTGAGGGGTCGGCTTGAACAAATTGCTAGGTATGATTGGGCTATGATCAAAAACAGAAAGAACATGGTTGCAACCATATCAAAATATTGCTGCGAATAAACTGCGAGATTGCTGCGATTAAGTGCGAAATGCTGCGAATTGGAGAATGACCAGAAAACTGAAGTGTCATTTCATATCAGGCTTAAGGTGATCCATGTTTTATACATCATTCCAATGCCAAAAATGTTGCGAACAATTGCGAATGGCCACGCTCTCTCAAGGATATTTTGCTCAAACCCAGGGGTGGTGAATCAACATCACCCAACATGAGTGCGCCGGCTAAGCGCTTGAGAGAAAAGTCTACCCCAGTAGAACCGAAAAGTGGGCAAGCTTCTAGAAAGTCTGCTTTGAGGCCACCTGGGACAAAAGAGCTGAACGAGAAGGAAAAGAAGAAGGAGAAGGCTAGAAAGGCCAGTGTTAGCAAGGCAGTCACAAGTGTGTTGGAGAAGGAGAAGGCAAGGAAGGCCTTGGACTTGAGCGTCCAGAGAAAGATGAGTGTGAATGAAAAGTTGAAGGCCGAAGCTGACCAGAAGAGAAAAGAAGAAAGTAGGAAAGCAGCTGCGGCAAAGAAGAAGGCGGCAAGTGAAGAGGCAAAGAAAGGAAAGACAGAGCCAAAGAAGGATGCCACTTCACAGCAGAAGAAGGTACACCCAAAGGAGAATAACGAGAAGGCAAGTTCAAAGAAGGAGAAGAAGGAAGATCCAGAGAAGCAGAAGAAGGAGGACTCGAAGAAGGCAGAGCAGAAGGAAGAGAAGGAAAGCAAAAAGAAGGCTAGGTCTGCAGTGGCAAGCGAGAAGGAGAAGCAGGAAGGCTCAAACAAGGACAGGAAGGCAGTCGCAAAGGAGGAGGAGAAGGGAGACAGACAGAAGGGTAGGACTGCAGTTGAAAAGGAGCAAGAGAAGAAGAAGAAGAAGGCGAAGATGGTAGTTGCAAAGGAAAACGAGAAGAAGGGATGCTCAAAGGAGGCGAAGGTGACAGTTGCAAAGGAGGTTGAGGCAGAGCAGGAGAAGAAGGAGGTTGAGGCAGAGCAGGAGAAGACGAGAGCTGGAAAACAGAAGACCGAGGTGAAGAAGAAGCGAGAGGCTGTAGAGCCAAAGGAGGCCGACAAGAAGAATAAAACAAGCAAGAAGAAAGAAGACCCTCCAATCAAGTATCAGCCTCTCAAAAGGAAGGCTGATGCTGCTCAGTTGTTCGAGGCTGTGAGCACTCCTCCTTGCAAGCCAGGTTTTGAATCACCTTGTCCGAGTGTGTCATCGAAGGTCTCAAAGTCAACACAGGAATCAGCACGAAGCAAGAAGCTGGTGCCTAAGACAGATGATGAGACTTTGAATATCATGACTAGCTGCCTGGAGTCATCAGCTGATGACCGTGAGAGTGATGAGGAAGAGGAGGAATGTGAGGAGGAAGAGAAGGAATGCAAGCAAGAAGAAGATGACAAAGATAACGATGATGATGACCAAGCAGAGAGTGAAGTGGAGGAGGAAGAGGAAGCAGAAGAGGGAGAAGCAGAAGAGGGAGAAGCAGAAGAGGGAGAAGCAGAAGAGGAATGTGCAGATGCAGAAGGAGGCGAAGATGAAGCAGAAGAACAGAGCACATCTGCAGATGAAGAAGACGCAGAAGATCCAGATGACGAAGACTTAGAAGCTGCAGATCAAGAAGAGGACCAAGGAGACACAGATCAAGAAGAAGAAGCAGCGGAAGATCAGGAGCAGGGGGAGGAAGATCAGGAGCAGGGGGAGGAAGAAGATAACTTTGAGGATGATGAATGTGAGAAGGAAGGAGAGGAGGCCAAGGAGAGCCCAGCGGCCATCTTGGCAGGAGGGCAAGAGAAGATCGAGAAGGCTGCGAAAGTCAAGGCCCTGCGCAACAGCCACCGGAATGATATTCAATCAAATTTGAACCCCAAGATGATTTGAGGATGTCTTACTGATTTCGTAATGGTTTATTTTGTAACAACTAATGACGACTATTATAACCCAATGGTTCCACTGAGGCTCAACGAACAAGAAGGAGTGGGATTCCTTTGTTCGCTCCAAGGAGCGATTCAGGGTATCAGACTACTTTCAGTCAAACAAAGTTGAGCTATTCAACGTTTGGCTGGATTCCGAAAAGAGCTGGGATGCCGTAAAGCTACATGTTGATAGGGTGTATGCACAGGTGAATCAGTCCACCCGTGGCTACATCAGTGTCAAGGGCCGGGATTTGAAGAAACAGTATGGGGAAGAAAAGGGCCAGCAGCTTATGGATACTCGGAAAGCTTCTGGCTGGTGGTATGCAGATGATGATTTTCCAACAGACCCGGACGATTCTTGATTGAACTATAAGTAACGTGTTCAATTTCTTTACCTCCAAAAATGATGGAAAGAACCGTCCCAAATTACCAAAATTTCACCACCATGATGATGCCCACCTAGGAAGCTTGGTATTATGTCAAGGCTTCTACCAGCGTGAAGCAAAAGGATATCCACACAGACCAAATGAAGTTGAGTGCAACCACAAAGGTTGACAAGGGCCTGATGTCGGCTTTGGTAGACGCTGAAACCGGCTTGTTGCGACCTGGGGCCATGCCAGCAGTGCAGACTGCCAATGCAGGGGGTTGCAAGACCCTGCTGAATACAATGGGCCAGGTACCCCGAACAACATTCATTGCTCATTTGTTCTTGAACATACCCCCAAAAAATCATTCTCTTTGCTGGAAGTTGTGTGGTACCCCAAAGGCCTTCAGCAGACCCACAAATTCCTTTATTGTTGGGATTCCTACCGTGCCCATTCATTTTAGAATTCACAAAAAATGACAATTTGGTTTTTAGTGATGGGATTCCCTATTGCACCTCATTGGCCATGGGTAAACTTACGACTTAACTTATCTTACCACCGGCCTTTATTGAGCGGATTTCTTTTGGTGACCCAAACCCACCAAAATAGATCGCCATTGGGCTGTAGTGTTTTTGATTCACACATGGCAATGTCTATTACTGTACTTCTGTTGATGGGGGATAAAACTGTGGCTCTATTTTTCACTTCAACTGCATCCCCAAGACACCAATTGGGAAACTGTAGCAAACCGTTGTCCCTTATTGCATTCACATCCCATTGACATTACCATTCACAACTAGTATTAAACCCGCTGAATTTTATGGTAATTGACATCACCTGTTTCAAGATATTTTCTTGATCTGTTCACCCCTGGAAAGTCAAAAGAAAGGGGGATACAGTATATACAGTAGAACTACAACAGAATTGTTTCACAATCAATGGTTCAGCTTTCTCCCAACAGGTCGCCAAAGCTGAGAAGTCTAAGCGCCCACCGAAGAAGGAGGAGTCTGCGCCCATGGTGCCTAAGACGTGGCGTGAGCAGGTTGCTGCAGTGTTCCCAGAGTTCCTCAAGTCATCTGCCCAAGCAAGGACGTCAAGTCTTACAATTGCAGGGCTGGCTTACACTGAGGAGTTGCAGAAAACGTTGCTTACCCATGCCCAGCTGATGGAAAAGACTTACTCGACCTTCAAAAAGTCTGTGGATGAAAAGCCAGCCGACAAGGACTGTGAAAAAATGAAAGCAAAGATGGAGGATCAAATGAAGACTTGCCAGAAGCTTCAGGCCCTTCTCTTCATGTCAATCATGTCTTCAAAAAATCAGTCTTCAAAAGAAACGCAAAGGCGGTTCTTGAGTTCATGCCCCCAGTCGATGCTCATATTTTTGTGGAATGGCTTCCCCAATTTTTATGATGGTCATTCATCCTTTCCCCAAATTCGAGATGCTGAGATCCCTTACATGTCCATCCACTCATCAGGCAGCGGCAAATGCATTCCTGGCGAGCTCGAAGCCAAAGAAAGCCAAGGCCAAAGCCGGCCCAAAGGCAAAGAAGTGAGCGTGGCTAAGATGAGACTTTTGACATTTGGGGACACAGGCTCAAAAGCTTGTGTATTTGGGGTACCAACACTTGGGCTCCTTAGGCCACAGTTGCATTGGGGTTTTACTGAGTTGCTGCGTTAAGCTAGCGTTGCTGTGAGATCTACATCTCGGATCTGTGTCTCACGTGATTCTCACCGGCAGTGGCATTTCTGAAAAAGGGCTTCACCAGAAACCAGATTGGCATTTTTTTTTTGAATCAAAATCATGATGCCGTCCAAATCTTTCATCATTTGTTTATCCAATACCCTGATCATGTGGCCAAATGTTCCTTCAACCACCAGCCGATTCCACACTGGTGCCAGGTCAACCGTCCTCCAAGAGGCTTGGCGAGGGAGCTAAGACCTCGATCACGGGGCTGGGTTTGTGAATGCTATGGGGCACCCACCCAAAAAAAAAAGTTTAGGCGAGTGTTGACATGTCAAAAGGGTGGGGAACCCTGCAGGAGAAAACGGTTAGAGACTATGGAACGATCTGCAACAGTTGAGAAAATCATTGATTTGATTGGCAGGGGGAGGTGTAGCATTGCAACTGCAGCAGGAGTGTCACACTCTCTGGTAGAAGATGGTGTTTGTCACGAAGCTATCCAAACGTTCTCCAGTTTGGGGGCTGGTGGTGCCTTTCCTGGAAACTATGAGAGGGACTTGAGAACTTGGCTGAAGAACTTGTTCAACTTTTCTTTGGAAACTTATTCAGTTCCAATGCGATTGCAAGCTCATTGGATCTTAATTTCAAGCATTCTTTTGTTTGGCAATTTTGGGGATTACCCTGCAAGAAGTTTATTCAGATTCCGTGGGTAAATTTTGGGATGGGTTTATGGGCTTTTGCCACCATCATAACAGGTAAAAAAAGTGACCGACCGTGAGCTAATCTGTTTGCCACCAGTGTTTAATTGGGATCATATCGGGTTAACTTTTGGGTCCTAACCTTTATTGAAACTTCATCAGGGAATTTGAAACCTACCTCATCACAACCTTAAATAAGTCTATATTCGAGCTCCTTCGGGTGGATTTTGGGCTGGATTTGAAATTTCCCGACACCATCGAAACAATCTAGAAAGGGAACCAGCTGGAATCCAATCTGTTTGTCACCAGTGTTAGATGTGGCATTATATCGGATTAACTTCATGGGTCCTAGCTACCATGAAACATGTACCAAAGAATCTGGAATCTACCACATCCCAATCTGCACCACGTGCCCAGCCCTAAGGTTAGTGGAGATGCTGAACGATCAGTGGCAGTGCGCATGCTTCTACCACACGAAAGTTTGGCAGCAATTTATGGTGCAGATTGTGCGCTTGTCTTTGACAGCATCATGCTTGGGAATCTGAGTGAAAAAGCTCGGGTGGATTTCTGGAATCATCTCAAAACGTTGAGGGGTTGGTCATCCCACCCGGTGCTGAACGATGAAAGGTATATCCCCCAAAAGTTGGTGGGCTTCACGTTTCATGCAGATGGGGCGCAAATGTATCGTGATGACGAGTTCTTTGTTTGGTCCCTAAGTAGCATTTTTGCTGCCAATGGCCTCATACAAGATGTGCTAGCTTTCCAGTTCCCCTTCGCGATCATACCCGAAAGATTCATGCGATCAAAGAATGCAACTTGCAAAAGAAATTCAAACCTTTTCTTTTCAGACTATTGACTTGAGGTGCTATAATCAACGACCCCTGTAAAAAAATGAATAACAGATTACCCAGACATGGAACTTATTATCATCCCTTTCACTCTGCAAGGTACGGGCTGCAGTGTTTCGACGAGTTGCTGAAGTAGCAGCTTGGTCGATGAAGTGGGCTTCCATGGGTCGGTGGCCTGATGCAGGGTTTGATGGCAAACCATTTGCAACCGGCTCTGCAAGGGCCAAAATGTGTGGACAACCTTTAGCGGATGGCTTCAGGTATCTGGGTTCACAAGGCAAACATTTTTTTTTTACAGCTGAATGGTTTTTACCAGTTGTTTTATTGTACTACTTGGGGTTTGTCAAACACAGATATGTTCCATAATAATCCAGAAGATTGCATTATATATCTATCTGTCAATCCGACCTATCTATCTGTCTTACTTTTCTATTTCTTTATCTATTTCTTTCTTGATCCAACCTATCTCTATCTTGATCTTGATCTTTCTTGATCTTTTTTGATCTTTATCTCTATCTGTATTTATCTATCTATCTATCTATCTATCTATCCATCTATCTATCTATCTGTCTATCTATCTATCTGTCTATCTATCTATCTATCTGTCTATCTATCTATCTATTTATCTATCTATCTATCTATCTCTCTATCTCTCTATGTCTCTATATCTATGTTTGTATCTTTGTATCTATGTATGTATGTAAGGTTGTATCTATGTATGGATCTGTCTATCTATCTACCTATCTACCTACCTATCTATCTATCTATCTACCTACATGTCAAATCTTTACATTCACATCGCACAAACATATACATACATACATGTACATACATACATACATACATACATACATACATATATATATATATGTATACACGTGTATATATATATATATAGGCATATACGCATACATTTGCATGTGCATATACAAATACACATACGAATAGATATAGATACATATTTCCAGGTGCATATATTTACGCATACATACATACATACATACATAGATACATACATACATACATAGATACATAGTTTTGGTTTGGCACTGTTTGGGATCCAACCTGTGAACAATCCTCACAGCCTTGCAGCTGAGGGCATGCTATGTTGGTTTCAAAGCTGACTTGAAAGCCCGGCATGAATGCCATGGGTTTTCTCGTTGGTACAAGAGTTCTTTGCACTTTTGGGTCACATTTGGCAAATTTCCCAATTTAATTCTGTGTTTTGGGGTTAGTTTGACATCTAGTTCTCAGCCAAATTTGGTCTCCTTTTTTGCATTAGCCCCAAAGGATATGTGAGCAGTGCTTGGCCCGAAGAGACATCAAATCCCCTGACAGCATGAACTACCGAAACTTCACAAGTTCTGCAGCCTGGCCCCTTACCATGTTGGACCATGACCAATGGATGACACTAGGGGAACATTCCGATTGGAACCTCGTTGAAGGATTTCGGTTGGAATCTGTTGGGTTTGACCTTATGCATAACGTCTTCTTGGGCGTCGGCAAAGACTTAGTTGGTTCCGGCCTCAAGCTTCTCATTCAACAAGGAGCCTTTGACCACGTTGAAGGTGTTCACGATGACCTGGATAAGGCATTAGGAGTGATTCACCAGGAGATGGTCCAAGATTGCAAAAACCATGGGCTATCCAGCTGCATGATTAAATCTTTTTATTTTTCCAAGATGATTGTAGGGTATTCAGCCCAAAATTTACTTGTAAAATCGCGTGTCATCAACTTCTTTTCAAAGAAGCAGAAACTGGTGTGGGCTTCACACCCACATGTGTTTATTTTACATCGTGAGGTTATTCCTTCCCTCTAAGCCTGTGCTTTCAGTGGCTGGTCTTTGTGGGGATGACGATTACGCAATGCTGAACAGTCGTTTCAAGGCATGCCATTGCAAAGTCATGGTGTGGTGGTTAGCGTTCAAGAGTCAGCAAGCTGCTGATGCCAATCAGGATGTCGCTTAGAGCAATAGTTTATTGGAATTGTTTTTGGCCTTCCCATCACCGACATACAGAATGTCCAGCCTCCCCAGATTCCATCCATCTCTAGCCATCCAAGGACCGACTATTGCAAGTCTTGGCAACTTGTTGCTATGGCATGCAACGAGCTATTGAAATTCTTGACAACTCTGGCCTTTTGATGAGTGAAAGTGATGCCAACGAAACGGCAGAATGCCTACAGTTGCATTTGGTAACTTATGCATGGCTAGCTGCGTACTACTGGGAAGAAGGAGTTTTGCTGTTTAGGTTTCGGCCGAAACACCACTATTTGTTTCACCAAGCTGTGCAGATTGCGGAATGGAGACTCAACCAGAGTATCTTTCACACGTGGGACCAGGAATCTTTTTTGGGGAAAATCAAACAGATATGTGTAAAATGCCATGGGGCCACAGCTACTGTTCGTGTCTTCGAACGGTATTTGCTGTGCATGGCCATGATGTTGGAACAGCATCGCCGGGTTCAATCTTGAACACTTCTCACTGTTTGTTTTCTGAGTTAGCCAGTGTTCCATGTGGAACTTAAAGATTTGAAACATGGCCTAGATGTCTTGGCTTTTTGTTGCAGTGAGAAGCGGTGTTTCTGAACCACCTGTTGGGGCACCAAACACGGCAAGGCGATGGTGAAAAATGAAAGCTGGGATTCCCTTGGATTTCAGTGGGTCTAGGCTAAGTGTCCTACCCTCACCAAATTGGGGTATCAAACACTTGAATGTTACACGCCCACATATTCCAATTTTTTTTGACCACTCACGGGACCTTATTTGTGAGGCGCCATTGAACTTTGGAACCTGGACACAAAATCTGATGCCTGTTGTCATTCTTACACCCGGCTAAATGAAATAGCCCTGCATTTTGAAGAATACCATGTCGGGGAAACACACGGATTTTGCACGCAAGGGTTGTGGTGTCTACTCCCCAAACATTATATATAATATATATATAATATATAATATATATATATAATATAATATATAATATATATATAATATATATATATATAATTTATAATATTTATAATATATTATATATATGTATTATATATTATATATTCTATATATTATTATATTATATTATATATAATATATATTTAATATATATAATATATATTTATAATATTTATATAGTATATATTATATATTATCTATATTTTATATTATATATATTATATATTATATAATATTATTTAATATTGTATATTATATATAATATATATAATATATGTAATATATAATATATATAATATATATGGCCAAACTGTGTGTATGCGACAAAGATGCAGTTGTACTTCGTAAACTTTGACTTATCCAGTTTGGGTGGGCCAACTTTGGCTCGTGCCACTTTCATGTGGGTTATCTATCCTCAAAAAAAAATGTGACGAATAACGAAGTATGCAATAGATCGATATCTACCCTCAGATATAAGATTTGGATTTCCATTTAAAACTGTTATAGGCTATAATGCTATAAATGCAAAATCCTTTGGCTATAGATTCAAATTCCTGTGTTCAGGTTTGGTCTATCCTAAAACCTTACTGTTTTTGGTCTTAACCAATCCATTTCTTTTTTTTTCTTCTCAAGTATGGTGCGACGCATTGGGTTGCAAACGCTGCAAGCCAATGGTTCAAGCCTCAAGCCAGTGGCTTTGCAACTGTCAAGTTCAAGGATGTGTAGTTCAAAGCACATGTGCTTAAGTTGTGAAACGCGCGCTAGCTCAAAAGCAGTGTCCTTGAGCTTGGAAACCCCTATCACGTGCTTTGCCGGTTTGTCAGCTTGTCGTTGCTGGTGAAAGATTGCGTTTTGCAAGTTCATCTTGCAATCAGGCATGGAAAGATGTTAAAAGCCAATCCATCGCAATTCCACAGAAGATTGGACCCATTGCTAAAGGTGATTATTTCCTTTCCCTTTCACGACACCGTCCCGCTCTCGTTTGCGTCCAACGCTTTTGTTTCTCTATGACAGAAGACGGAAAATCACAAAGAAGGATCGCACGCAGCGTTCAGCTCTCGTTTGCGTCCAGCGCTCTCGTCTCTCTTGTTAGACAAGACGGAGACAGAATTCAATAGCCACGTGTAACTTCAGATTCCTGGTGGCAACATAGAAACTATTTTTAGAATAATTGCCCGGACAGCGTTTCGCTCTCGTTTGCGTCCAGCGCTCTCGTCTCTCTTGTTAGACAAGACGGAAACAGAATTCAATAGCCACGTGCAACTTCAAATGACAATAAAGAATTGATTTTTGAAACAATTGCTCGGACAGCGTTTCGCTCTCGTTTGCGTCTGGCGCTTTCGTCTTTCTTGCTGACAATTGCTCGGACAGCGTTTCGCTTTCGTTTGCGCCCAACACTTCCTCTATGCAAATATTCTTCTTCTTGCAACAACAACTCCATCTCAGTTTCGCTCCAAAGCTTCCCTATTTGTATCTTTGTTTTTGTAACTGATCATTTCTGATCTCTAAATGTTCGTTTTCTTTTTTTAATTTGTAACGGTCATATATAGGCAAAGCATATGTTGCCTGTGCCACGACAGCGTCAAGTGCAAACGACATCGTTTTGGCAAAACCCTCTCGTTTGAAGAAAACATTGTCCAAACAAGAACGTTCGATTCTCTAGGTAGATGTATTGATTGGTGGAGAGCTTGTTGATGCCGGTCGCAGGAACGGTTCTGGATTCAAGACCATGTGGGAAGGGATGCCTCCATGTGATACCAAGGTCGGAGGACCTTCGGATGTCGGGCGAGGTACAAAAGTATGCAGGCCTCTGGTGTTTGGATGATCAAGACGGAAATTGGCCGGAGGCGGGCTCGAAGAAAGGCAAGAGTCCTGCCAGATAGTTGAGATGCATGATAGCTCTAGCCAAATGATGATGGAACGCTCGTCCTTGAGCATGATCCATGAGCGATCAAACGAAAGTGGAGCAAAAGGAAAGCGTAGCTTGAGCCAGGGAGCTGACGGAGGGAAACGAGAGACCACAGAAAGACAGCAACCAAGAGAAGGGACAGGAAGAAACAAGAAACAAGAAAGAGGGAAAACAACGGGAACACACAAAAGAGAACCCCATGCCAAAAACAGCAGGAGCAATTTTTGAGACCTGCAAACTTGAGTTCTGATGCTGAATCAAGAGTTGGTTTGAGATGGCCTGAAGTTCCTCATTGGGAAAGCCAGCTCGTACGTATAATCGAATTAGTTGTGCCAAGCCTTGTTGGACACGCTGAGATGGGAAAGCTCCTTTGATGACGATGTGACATCTTGACCGAAAGCCGCTGAGCAGGACTGAAGGAGGTGAAGCGGAGAATGGTGAGAGGACTTGTGACACCTGTGTTGGTCCCTGATAGATCAATTCAAGTGGCTTTGTTTCGATCATAAAGCCAAGGAACTCTTGATCAGGCTCAGTTTCGAGAATAATAGGCTTTCCATAGAAGCCGTCGTCCAATAAAACTTCATATGGCTCAAAAGAGGTCAGGCGTTTGTCACCGAAAATGAGGCGATTGTCAACGTAACGGACATGTTTAATGAACAGGTGATGATTGGAGAGAAGTTGATGGAAGGTGTGGTACCAAATCTGTTCACTGATGGATACAACCATGAGACATAGGGCCGGGGAAAGAGGACTGCCCATGGGACTGCCTCGGCGTTGGCGGATGCAACGTTGTCCCAAGGCGAATGTCTGCATATGCAAGGCGGACTTGATCAAGTCTGGTACATCACCGACGACAATCTTCCGAGTGACATTAAGGCGACGAAAGGTTCGTCCTTTGATGATGTCTCCTGGATTGTTGGACTTTCCAGGGTAGACAGAGAAAACTTCCTCATCGTAGACATTCATCTTGGGCCGGAGAAAGTCAAGGAGCATGAACCAGGAACGAAGGAATCTGTCTTGATCAATACTTGTGAAAAAGCCGGCCAAGTCTTGATTGACCAAGATCAAATCGGCGTCGACAGGCGCCGATCGCAATATCGCGAGCAGAGTGTACACGTCGCCTGTAGCGAAATGATTTGGACATGCCGTAGGGATAAGCTGGAAGATGAGTCTGGCAAGAATGTTGAGCATTGGTCTGAATGGGGAGTCGACAAAGGAAATAATCGGCCTGCCACTGCGGAAGTCTTTCTTCCTTTTGGCCAGAATATACCCAGATGGAAGCTGGCGACCCGATCCCACTGCCCACGGATATGTACGTCCGTGCTGGCGTTGAAGGGATTCAACCAAGGAAGTCACGATTGATGATGGTTCGCTGGGTAGGGATTCAAAGATGGAAGGGTCTTGGAATGTCTTCTCGATGGATTCGAAATAAATGCACGGGCAAAATATTCGAAGAGAGGAAGCGTGTTTGTCCTCACAATGGAAGATGGCACCATCAAAGGTGTCTTGAAGACGTCCAATTGATTGCTTTGTGATGTGATCTGTGATCTGTGACAGGTGTTGTTGCCACAACAGGTGACAAAGGTCGGTGATATCGGACTGGGGCATGGAAGGAAGACCATTGCGCTTGGTCCAATTCTTCAAGCCAAGACGCAGTTGGTTTTGAAATTCCTTCTTGGACGGGAAGACTTTGCTGGCCAAAGATCCTTCCGCAATGACAGCAAGGTCTGGTTGGAGATGGGAATGGAGAAGTGAGCCGGAGAGGACCCAGTGAGAGTCCGAAGGATTGAGTGCCGCACTCTTGTAGCAGGACCAGGATTTGCAACAACATGTGGCTGGGTTCGTAGTCGACCAGTCGTCGATGGCTTGTTTGTGATTGCAAAGGATGTCCAACACTGCCGCATGTTTGATGAAGACCGTCTTGAAGGAAGGAGTGTGACATGGTACCTGGTGAGCAAGCATCCTGACATGCCATTGTCGCAGAAACTTCTTCAAGGTTTTTTGGAGGTCGGGAGCGAGGCACCATGGGGCCCGTAGAGCTGTCGCCTTGGGTGCTGGTTTCCCTCGCCACCATTGGATGGAGGCATCGATGGCATTCAGGGACAGGGTACGGAAGGGCTCCTGGGTGTTGTTGGCCAGTCGACGTAAAGCGTAGCATAAGGTCAATCCACCATCATTGGATCTGAGCAGCTTTGTTTGCTCAAACCTTGCCTTGGTATTTGAACCTAGGGCGTGGATGATTGTCCAGAGTTCAAGACGATTCTGGAATCTGGCAGAGGTCAAAATTTGACGTACCAGTTGTGGAGTGAACTTGTGTTTGGCACGCCGCCAAAGAGTCGCAAGACCAAATTGCGCATTGGTGTTAAGAAGGGGTTTTTTGAGAAGACCCTTCTTTGGGTGGAAGAATTGGCAAATAAAAGGATAATTGAGGCGAGGTTGCCATTCTTGAATCAGTGCCATTTCCAGGCTGCGATAGTCGCTTCTGTCTGTATAGATTGGAATAGGCGCCCAAATATACAAGTTGTCATGTTCTTGCCAGTAACGAAGTGCCAGTTCAGCTTGCACAAGTCTCTCATTGGTGAGTTGAAGGTATTTCCTGGAGCGGCTGTACTCTCTG